CTAAAGCCCGTATCAGACTACGCATTGAAGATTGAGATTCAATATTCAAGATTAAAATTTGACCAATCAGGACAAAGAAATTTTAGTCTCTTTTGTTCTGATTAGTCAAATTCCAATCTTTAATCTTCAATCTTCAATTTTCAATGCGTAGTCTGATACGGGCTTTAGGGCTCTTACGACTGCATTGGAGACCCCGCATGAGGGCCAAGATGCACATAAAAAAGGACATACTCTGTTTCGTGCCTCTTGCGAAAGAGTACGCTATGCTACGTGCGAGCGAGAGAGAACGCAAGGGGCACGAAACAGAGTATGTCCTTTTCTACGTGCATCTTTACCACCACTCCTTAAATAAAGGCAAACGCTCGGTCTAGATATACTATGTCTATACAGAGAAGCGACAAAGGCGTTCCGCTTGCTGATTGGCTGATCGCCACGAGCCCGTTCCACTTAATGACCGCAACGCTCACGGTATCAGGGCCCGGGCACATAAAAAAACTTAAGCAGTAAGACTTAAGACTTAAGAATTTCAACCATTCACGGTCGAACAGTAAGGCAGCCATATTGAAACGTAAGCTACGCTGAAAATTCCGTATGGTTGAAATTCTTAAGTCTTAAGGGTCGGCAGGAGAGACAGTAGAAACCTCTCGCGGGAAGGGCCGTCTACAATGGCAGTAACAAGGCTGTAGGAGTAGGAGAGTATACTGTTTTTAGTCTTCTTCTTCTTCTTTCTTTTATGGCTGGTTGAGCATTAGTCGCCCATACACCATTGTTTCTTATGAGTTTATAGAATATAAGCAAAACTCCTCTAAGAAAGGAGGGAGTCCAAAAAAAGGTCCAGACAAAGGACATACGCAGCACGCAAAAACACGTCCGAACCCGACACGTTGTCAGTCGGAACTCTACTGTTTTTAGTGATGTAAAGACCGAGAGTAACGAAATAGGCAATTCTCATTTGCTCTTAAAACTTTTAAGAGCAAATGGGTATTGCCCATTTCGTTATTCTCGGTCTTTACATCACTAAAAACAGTAGAGTTCCGACTGACAACGTGTCGGGTTCGGACGTGTTTTTGCGTTATTTTACTTCAAACAAGGGAACGGAATGGATTAACGCATAATGAAATAAAAAAATAAAAATTAAAAATGATTAATCCATTCCGTTTCCTTGTTTGAAGTAAAATAATTCCAAATTGCTCCTCCTGATATTTAATATTTTATTCCTATTCCTAATATTTCCTCTATTGTGCGCAGGGCCTTAGCGACGATTATCGTTGTTGTTAGTGATCAATAGCCTATGAGAGTTGCGCTTTTCACCCGGATTGTCTTTGCCATTGGCTGTCGCTGGTTAACGATATTGAAAATTGTCGATAGCAGGTTATTGAATCCCGCTACAGTTCGAAATATGTACCGAAATATATATAATTCTTTAGTTCTGAGCTGTTGATGTTTCGTAAAAATCGTTTTTTTGTGAGAACCAAATAATCAATGGTATCGTTTTTGTAAAGCATTCAGTTCACCAAGAATTATTGCGAAGTTTCCCGCGAAAATAAACCACTATAAATCACTATCTATAGAAAGTTTTGGTTGCAATCCGTTGGGAGTTGGGACGACGTGATAAGAGACAAGCGCTATTTTGACTCGACTACGTTTTCGTTGGTCGAGAGAGAAGCCAAGGGAAGCTGTTCTCTCGACACATACCGCGAAGATCGTTTCTTTCAGAAATTCGAGGGAGACGCCACCGAAAAATTACATCAAGATGGTAATCATTTTGTTAATTAATTTATTGAATAATATGTTTTTTGTAACATTATCATATATGTGTCGAGTTAGGGACGAAATTTAATTCGAGTATCATACGTGCTATTGTTTCATTTCTGTAATGACGATCGCCCCCTGGCAATATTATATATATTAACTATTTATTTGTCGATATTGAAATTAACACGTGCACATTAAACACACAAAATCGTAAAAAAAATGCACCATATATAATGCTTTTCTAGGAACTAGGTTGATATTTTGATTTGACTCGTGCGACCAAAAGATAAATGCGTATCAAACAATAAAAATTGTTAAAATTGCTGCCGGTAATTAGCAGTAGCTTGCAAATGCCGCTTTTTATCGTTTAATCTCTGTACAGATCAAACAAAAGTCAGAAATCTTTTCTAGCATTATTTATCTCTATTTATAAAATTTAAATATTTCAAAGTTTAGATATGTATTAACTCAACTTGGAAATGAATCTTTGCAAGAAAAAGTTGTAAACATATAATATTTATAGGCTTTGGTTTTATACGTGTTTCTTTTTGATGATTAGATTACAAAGCGACTTTACTATTTGCAACATGTAAAGTTATAATATGCTTACATTTGTTATTGTTTTTCATTGGTTTGCTTTGATGCATCAGCAATTTTTAAATTTTTGATTTTTTATCTAAGAATAGTATAGAACTTCATTTTCCTTTACAGTCAGTTACAGCCAAACGAGAAGAGTTTCGCCTCTATCTAGAGAGGTGTGGCGTCATGGATGCCCTCACAAAGATCCTTGTATCACTCTACGAGGAAACCGAAAAGCCACCTGATGCTTTGGAGTATCCTTTTTTAACATATGTTATGTAAAATTAAGCTTTAACAAAAATCCTTTTAAATTATTTTTTATCATATAGAACATATGAATTTTGTTAGTCTTCATATCATACAATTTTTATAATTTTTATGATAAGTAAATATTTATTTTCTAATTTTGTGTCAATAATTATTAAAAGAGATATTTCTTTAACCATATATATATAGTTATATACGTAAAAATCTTGGAGGTATTGTAGATAATACTTCGGAAATTGACAACTTGAAGAAAGAATTGGAAGAGTCCAAAGCCAAAATTGCTGAACTAAAATCAAAATTGATGAAATACGAACAGACTAAAGACGAAGTAATGGCAGAGTAACTAAGATGCAAAAAATATATGTTCAACCAGAGTTTGTGCTAGTCCCCTTTGGACACTGACTTTTCTAAAGTCAGTCTGACTACTATATGTGCCTTATTATTACTACAAATAACACATTTAAGAAAATTAGAATATAAGCTAAATTACTAAGTTTTGTGTAAACATTCCATTATGCATATGTTCATTTAGTCATTCTTATATAAGAAAATAGAAACTTAGTTCTTAATTTTCACACACATTGTTTCTTCTCTAAAAACAAATTTATCGTGTGAACGATTGTTGAAGTTATATGCATACTTAATATGTTGTTTATACAGAATAGATCTCAAAGTACAAATAAATATTTCTTTTATGTTTATTATAGGGGACTTGTATTTTTAAATATATACATACTGATAGTTTTGACAATTTGATATTTGACAAATTTATTTTAAAACTTGAATTTTTTTGTTGAGTTTCATATGTAGATACAAGTGCAAATAAAGTCAATTTCATCAATGCAATATGATAGATTATTATATGAAAAATATCACTATTAGTACTCAAAGATGTACAAAATTCATTTCTAAATCCAAACGTATTTGTAGTAATGTATATATTAATTTGACAATTTATAGTTGAATAATTTTCGAAGTCTTAATTTCAGAATCTTCAATGGTGCTCTGTACACAAACTTTATTCTCAACATAGATACCCTGAAATGTAATGACATTAAAAGTATTGTAAAGTAAAAAATAATAGAAATTTTACATTATATTGAAACGTTACATAAAAAAATTCAATGGAAAATATTCTGATTTCTTAATTACCTATTGGATTTTAGGCGAATTTTATATAGTAAGATTGATAATCTCATGTAGGTTTTGCTGCTTGCCTGCGCTTCACTTCCCAATTATAAATACGTGCCATATTCACTTCCATTGTTGTGAATTGGTCTCGAACAAAGTCTAAATCATGTTCTACATATCCTAAATTTTTCTTGGCTGCCTCGATATTTTTGGTCAACACTTCTTGCGCATCATCTAAAGTATATTCTAGCATCACATTAGCACCCAGCCATAAACATACTTTATCTGTAGGTGGTATTACGGCTTTTGCATATACTTGCTCCGATAATAAAAATTGTGTTTCTAAATTGTGGCTGTTATTTTTTTCAATTTGCAATTTCTCGATCATCTCTAAAGATCTTTCTAAATCTGGTATTTGTGCCTTTAATCGTCTTCTCTTATTAATCAAATTGTATTCCATAAATTTATACTTTCCATGGCTTTCATCAAATTTCCTGAGTACTTTGTCTACAGATTCATTTTCTGGTTTTGCCATAAAAGCCTCAACATCATCCTGAAATTGTGTAACATGAATGACTCTATATAAGCTTACAATAAGCTTTAATAAAAGATATTTAATTATAATTTTATTATGTGTGTGTGTGTGTGTGTGATACAAATAAAAATAAACAGAAAACGCAATATATTTATCATGCAAAATTATTGTGCAAATCAATCATACAAAATATTTTGTGGAATAATCAGGAAATATGAAATAAATGATTAATAAAAAAAAACAGTGAATAAGAAAAGAAACTTTTCTTTTTTTAAAAATGGTTACATAAAGTTCAATCAATCAATCAAAATTTTGACCAATTAATACACATATAAAAAAATCATCTTAATTAGATAAAAGATACAGAGTTTTGAATCCTAATTTTCTATTAATGTTTTTCTTTGCATGGAGAAAACGTTTACAGATTAATCAGAATGATTGGTTATAAAACAAAATTATAACAATTTTAGAAATAATAATTTCGATGTAAATATATATAATAAACACATGCATAAAATTAAATATTAATAAAGTATACTTACTACGAAATCGGCTTCTGGTATTCCAGCATAGGATTTTCTATCTTCACTCAGCTCGATTTCCATTTTATTGTCTTCCATCTTGATTCTGCTCTGTCTTTGTACATACTATATATAGTAATGTACAAATACAGATGCTCTTGCATTCGAGTTAGTTTTTACGAAACATGATTCATAACTTCAGAATTTAATATATAAAAAATATTTCCGATTAATTTTCTTTTTTCTCTAATAAGAAAATAATAAATGATGTTCTCTTTTGGCACGTGTAGTCACTATAGATATATACAAAAATACGAATTATTTTGTAACAAAAAAGATTTCATTGCTCATATTTTCTAACAAGCATAAATAACTATGTGAGAAGGTAAATTGTTAATAGTCACGCATTTTATGAGCTGACCAGTATATATTCTTTAAAAAACTATTAAAATTATCTTTTTATTTTATCTAGAGTGTTTTTGTCTAATTGCTGTGTAGATGTTTGGCAGTTTTAAGAACACACCTCTTTTTCTCTCTTTTTTTTCTCTTTCTCTTTCTCTATTTCTCTCATTGCGGTTTTTGTTGCCCACTCGTTAGTGCCGGTCTACAATAGGTGATTTAAGATTTAGCCTTTGTTTTAAGAGAAAAATTACATCGATCCTAGCCTCAAGCTCTAAGCTTTAAAAGATGGGAGTTGGCCAACTCGCTTAGGGCTTAGAGATTAGGGCTTAAGGCAGCGCGAGAAATGTTCAAGGCCGAAAATACGTCATAGTTTAGAGGTTAAGTCATAAGGTTTAGGGCTTAAATCGCCTATTGTAGACCGGCACTTATACTATTGAACTCGCTACCAGAGAGCAACCTGAAGCCCGTATCAGATTACGTATTGAAGATTGAAATTTGACCAATCAGGATAAAAGGAACTAAAATTTCCTTGTCCTGATTGGTCAAATTTCAATTTCAATGCATAATCTGATACGAGCTTGAGAGAGACCACGCCGTCGTTTTCCGAAAGACACTTTTTTTAGCTCGTACAGTAGCGTCAACTAGATTCATTTTAGACCCGCGGAACTACATGGCCAGATAAACTTTTCGGTGCCACGGTAAAACGACCGATTGTGATTAGCTGCGTGTTTTGTCATTCTAGTAGTATATACTACAGCGATAATAAATTATAATTGAAGTATTTTTATGTATATACTATATGTAAAATAAAATAAATTTTCTTAATAATTCTTTATTCTTTTCCTAATTTTTAAATTTAACGTGTAGAAGATTACAATAATTTTTGCTTTCACTTGAAACAAAAATATCATGCATTTTAAGCATTATCAAATCATGCTTTTAATAATTTACTAGAACAACACAGGCGCGCGCTACTCTATAGCCGAAAAAACACTTTTTGGTACATTTGAAATTGGTTATTAATTGGTTTATTTTAAAACCTATGGAGCGAACTACAATCATTTTGATCTCATTTGAAAGATAATTTGATTCTCTACAACATTTGTTTCGGTACTTTTTGTTAAAAAACGCATACTTTCCCTGATATTTGTAAAA